GCAGTGTGGGAGCCTTTGGGCTCTGCATCCCTAGGATTGGGTGTGCAGCAGGGCTGTGGGGCTGGAGCGAGGCCAGCACGGGCTTCCAAGGCCATGGGGCTGCACTGCTGCAAAAGGACGTGCACAGAGCTCAGCCGAGGAGGATCCAGCTGGCACTAACCTCCTGGATGTGCAGCGTGCTCACCGAGGCCCTCCCTGCAACACCCTGGATAGAGAGGATTCCCCATCCCTTCCCCATCCTTTCCCCATCCAAGGTGCCCTCGCATCCACCACTTGAGCCTTCCTCAACACCACCCATGTCGTGTTCCTGTCTTAGGAGGTGGCACAGCGCGGGAGTGACAGCAGTGGGGGACAAGGGGACAGTGGGAGGCAGGTGGAAGCAATAATTGGCCGTGATCTAATTAGGGAAGCCTAGGGCTAGATTAGGAGCGGTGACACAGGGAGGGTTTTTAGCTGTAAAGCCGCAGATGGTTCTGGCTGGAGCGGGCGAGGAGGAACCCGGGACTTGCCGGGAGTGAGGAATCCTGCCCACACGATGCTCCGTACCTCGAGGATCCTAGTGGGAGCCTTGCCCCAGACTCCTGCCCCTTGCAGGCTGCTGGGATTTGCCTGCCATGGAGTGAGGATGCAGGGATTGGGGATGCAGGGGATTGGACATGCGGGGGATTGGGGATGCGGAGGGATTTGGGATGGGCATTTGTTCCCCCAGGGTTGTCGCTCCCTCTCCGAGCTGGAGTTTCTCCCTGCTGTTTGCCCCCATCCCGGCACAGCGTGTCCCGACCCCGGCGCTCCACCTCGGCCTCTCCCTCTACATAAAGCGCTTCCAGTGAAATTCCTTTCTGGCCAGTCATCGCTGTCCCTCGGCCTCGACGCCTCCGCGACCAGCGCTGGCCGGGCCAGGCTTCCTCTTCCTGAGCCTGCCGGCCCTCCCGGCTCCTGCTGCTGCTCCCAACCCCTTCCTCGCCATTCCCTTTGCGGGAAGGCAGCAATGCCTTGCCCGAGCTCCGGATGGGACTGCTGGGAGCCTCCAAGGCATCGTCCAGCCCAATGCACCGTCCTGCATGACCGAGGCATCTCCAGCCATGCTCCCGTGTTCGCCCTGCTCGTGCCAGCCAGGCTGGCCCCCATGATACCCCCTCCCAAACCACGGCTTGTGCCCGACCCAGCTTGTCACCATGCCACCGCCTTCGGTTGCTAATTGGAGGATGAACGCTTTGCTTTTCCACAGCCCCCTTCACCTGTGGCTCTCCAAGTATTGTACAAATATTAATTACTGGTAATTAATTAAATCAAGCCTCCCCATCCCCTGCGGAGGTGCTGTCACGTAAACACGCTCGTAGCAAACATGGCATCAAGGCGGGATCTCTGAGCAGGGTGGCAGCTTGCAATCACCTGTCATTAACGATGCCAACCCACCTGCAGCAGCTTCCACCCAACAGGCCCTCCTCGAGGGCAAACGGCATAAGAGAGGGAGCAGGGAAGGCAAGAGGGAGCTTGATTCCAGCAAGGAAATCCAGCAAGGTGATGGGTGGGTTGTAGAAAAGCCCTCTGCTCTTGTGCTGCTGTATGAGATTGGTCCTGGCTTGCCTGTTGCAACCTTTCAGCCCTGCACAAGCTGCTTTTTAAGGTAGATGTTTGTCTCCAACCTGTTGCCTGTCTCTGCTCTGAGGGCTCTGGAGGCAGCATGAGGATGTGGTGCTCCCTTGGCATAGGGATGGGGTGTTCATGGAATGCTGCTGTGGGAACAGGAGGGCTGGGCAGGCTGGATGAGCAGAGCTGGTCCTTCTGGAATGGGAGGTGGGAAGGAGGGACGGGGGTGCCCAGCAATGCAGAGGGGGAGCACAGAGGTGCCCGGGGCACCTCGTGCCTCTTCCTGGGCTGATGCTGGCCCCGTGCCCACGTCCTTCCACCCTGTTGCTTGCATACGGCCCCTCTTGAGGATCTCACAGGGCACCGACCCGTGACCGGAGGTGCCACCTTAATCCGGATCGGGGGAGATCTGTCGCGTGCCCACGCGGCAGCTCTCTGCCCGGCCTCGGCCGCGGCGGCTCCTCGGGATGTGCTGCATGGATGGGGCTCAGCCGGCACATGGAGGGACCCTGCAAGAGTCCAGCCTGGGTAATGCTCTGCATGCTCGCATTTGGGAGCACAAATGCATTAATACTACCCAAAGCCAGATTAATTTCTTGCTAGACAAGCAAGACCGGGGCAAAGTGGGGTGAGATTAAGGCATTCCTTGGGCAGCTCCCAGCCCTTCGCCCTGATGGCCGCATCTCGGCTGGCGAGGCCGCTAATGCTACTTACCTTATTACTGGATTATGTGGGGGTAATGAGCTTTGCCCTGATCAGCTATCCCTCTGCTCGGGGCTGTTGGGATGTGTAATACTTCCTGCGCGAGGCCACGAGGTGGGCAGCTGGCGGCTCGAAAACAAGCCGAGCCCCAGCAAAACAATGCAGTAATGTTCCCGAGAAAAATTCCAGCATGGGCCTGGCGTTAATCACAAATCAAGGGGCTTTCTGCGTAATGCTGAGCAAAGCCAACGGGAGGGCGGCGGTGCCCTCGGCAAGGTCCTGGCTGACCTCGACGGGTGCAAATCAGGAGCAACTGCATTGATTTTATTTCTGCCAGCGGAGCAATAGAGCTATAAGCACCTCTGCTGTCTTAAACTCTTCTGCTTCCCTTCCTCCCATCAAACCTGTCAGCACAGGGCCTTGGTGGCATGTTGCTATGGTCACCAAGAAGTTTTCCCTAGAGACCAGGAGCCCAGAACAAGCGATGCCTGCTTCTTTTTTTTTTTTTTTTTCTCCCATAAATTTATTTATTGTATTATTGTTATGTTTATTTAAACGTTGATTAAATACTGGATTTTCTCTCCACCTCCGTTACACTCTTCAGGCCAAGGTCTGTGGATTGACGTGGCTGCATCTCAGGGCTTGGCTCCTGCTTTGTTTTTCGAGAGGGTACGAGTGTGGGATGCGTGGGAGGGAAAGTTTCAGGGCTGTAACTCTTGCTCTGCTGGAGACCCCTGCAGAATTGTTCTGTCTTACTGCAGTAGATAGAGAAACAAGTAGAAGGCCCAGCCTTGAGAAGATCCTGGTGAGATCGGGCCTGGATCTCCCCCCAGGATGCTGCAAGGGGGTTGTAAAGTGCACAGGCTCCCAGAAGCAGCAGCTACAGGTGCTCCTGGAGTTTGTGTACCCAAAACTTGCACCTCCCTGCAAAACACACCTGCAAAAGCATGGGCAAGAGCACCCTGTTCCCCCTTACAGAGGTTCTCCATTGTATTTGGGTCCTAAAGATAATTAAGATCTAGAGCCAAACAGAAAGGATTTTCTCTGCTGGTCTGACCTCCAGACCTGACTGTCATCTCATAGTAGCTCTGCTACCATTGCCTTTGGTACTGGAAATGCCTTTGCTGGCCCTTTAGACCTCTTAGTCTACACGCACAGGAAGGAAATCCCAGCAGCTCTTGAAAGTTCAATCCAAGTCCGGAGTCTGAGTTTCACAGCAGGGCTTAGGAGGGGGACCCATAGCGAAACTTCTTGGCTTTTTTTGCAGCTCTCAGGTCAGGCTTCACAAGGCAGATGAGAGGTGGAAACCTCCAATCTGTGTCCCATGGATCCATAAATCCAAGGCATGTGGGGTGTTTGGGGAGGATTGGTCTGTTTTGGCACCACCACCACGAGCAGCGCTGCGTGTCCATAGAGTTGATCTCGGCAACTGGAAAACTGGCTCCTATGGGCACTTGGCTTGAGGGCTGGGATTTTACTCTAGGGTAGTGTCGAATGTCCCTTTGACTTTTCTTTCTTCTCTTTTGAAGCCAATAATGGGCTGATTCTCTTCCTCCCCACGCGATGTGCCCTGTGCTGAATGAAGAGCCTTTCTGATGAGTGATCTCTCTTGTTTTGCCCCCTTTCCTCCCTGCTCGGAAGGCTGCTTGTGTCCCAGGTTTCCATCGGCTGCTTCTCCTGTTCCTGGGAAGGCAGTTCAGCACCGGGTCAACAAGTCTCAGGGCTATTGAAATCCCTGCCCTTTGCAGGTCGTTTTGCCCAGATCCCGGCTCTCCCCGGGCTCGTTCAGCAAACAAGTCCCGCACAGCTTGGCCTGTGAGCGCAGCAGCGTGTGCATTAGCAGCTCTGAGAGCCGGGAAGGCAAGCGCTGTTCTTCAAAGCGTTTTGTGTATGTGCTCGCGTTTGGGGACGGTGCTGAGCCAGCAGAAAGGCCGTCTGCGTTGTGCGGTTCCTCCCCTGCAGCGTGGGCTGCGGCTGCAGCGTTATCGGCCCTTCGCGGTGGTCTGCAGGGCTGTGGGAGGAGGGCTGCAGCGTGGAGGGGAGTCCCGGCCTCTCCTCCCTCCCCGAGTGCAGCAGGGGAGCTTGGTTTGCATGGGGGGACAATCCTGCTGCCAAACCTCTGCTGTGGCCTCTGGGCTCCTGTGCTCTGCCTCCCTGAGAAGCTCCAAGTCCAGCCTGGGCCAAACCCCTCAAATGCTGTTATCTTTAAAAGCTTTTCTGGAAATTACCTCTTCATCCAGTTCCTAACCAAACAGGGTTATCTGCTGCCAGATTGACCCTTGCTGGTGCTTTCTTTGGCTGCACCAGCAGCAACCCAGGGCTGAGCAGGGCTCTGTGCAGGGTGAGCCCTGCTATGTCTGCTTGGGACGTAGCCTGGGGAGCTCTGTCTGGATTTGGGGGACACTAAAGAGGAACGTGTGAGAAACAGCATTTGGGTTACGTGAGCCCAGCATCGATGGCTGTTCCTCTGTGGGGATAGGAAGATCCCAACCTGCTAGGTAGACAGAGAGGACAAAAGCCTGGGTCAGAATCTAGGAGTATCAGGATGGTTTTGGCTGTCCTTTTTTTGCACATCCTTTCCCCAGCAATACCCAACATCTGTCTGCAGTGTTGTGGATGCAGCAGGGCTCTTCTCCAGCCAGCCTGAGGTGTCCTGAGCATTAACAGACCCTCCTCTCTCTGTCTTTTCTCTCCCTCCTCTCTGCCAGCAGTTCCCTATCAGCAAAACCCGTACAGCCCTGGGAGCGGCTCCACCGTCATCCAGTGCTACCGCTGCGGAGACACGTGCAAGGGGGAGGTGGTTCGTGTCCAGAGCAACCACTTCCACATCAGGTGCTTCACCTGCCAAGGTAGGAGGGCGCAGCCCAAAGAGCCAGCAGCCGAGTTTTCCCATGTGCCCAGAGTGCAGTTTGGAAGGGAAAGGGCCAGGGAGAGACCAGCCTGGCATGCAGAGAGGTGATTGCAGCCCCCAGCGGGATTTGGTGCTGTTCCAGGGGGAGGTGAAGGGGCTGCCAGGGCCATGGGGCCAGCGATGTCCCTGTGCCACGCCAAAACCAGCAGCCTGTGACCTGAGGCAGCCAAGACCTGGGCACAGTCACTGTGGCTGCCCCAATGCTTCTGTTCCATGCCCTGCCAACCCCAGATGTACCCACAGCCCGTGTGGGGCAACCACTCCGGTCACCACCTGCCCCAATGAGCGAGGAGGAGCGGTTTCAAGGCTGGCAGAGGTGGGCAAGAGCCCCGAGCTGCTTGGGCTGGGGTGGTTGACCCATCACTCCCACCCTGGTGCTGGGAATGAGCTGGAGGAGCCGCATTTCTATGTGCTGAAGCTGGGCTGCCTCTGGGGCCTGCAGAAACAGCAGAGCTTGGCCTGGGGTCTCTGAACCCGGTGGGCAAATTAGGAGGACGAAGAAGCCTCCCCTGCTTGGGTGCACAGGGCATGAGGAGATGCAGGGGTTGCTGACCTGGGCGGGTGGCGGGATCTGTCCCCTCCTGATGGGGGGACCAGGCCATGTTGCCCCTCACGTGGTGAGCTCCAGCCTCCTGGTGCCCTCCCCAGAGGATGGGCCTTGTCAAACCTCCCTGCAACTGCAGGCAGGAGGAGGAGAGCTGAGGAGCCCTTAAAGCTAACAGCCCAGAACTGATGCTGAAGGGCTCCTGAGTGTGTTTATTAAAAGAGCTGGGTGTGTGAAGGCCAGTGGACCGTTCTGTAGATTACAAAGCATCAAATTACCAGGGTTTTTAAAGGCCTCCGGTCTCCTGAGCTCCCATCACCTTGTGCTAAGTAGGGCATAAATCTCCATCCCCTTGGTCACCACTTGGCTGCTCCCCTTGCAGCAACAGAGTTTGGCAGCGGGAGACCCTCCCTCTGGGGTCCTCCCCATCCCTGCTGGTGCCCGTGCTGCCTCCTCACCCCACAGCCCACCAGGCACGACCGGGCCTGCTTGTGGGCACGTGGGTGCCCTCAGAGCTGGCCGACATGTGCCCAGCCTGGTGCTTGAGCCCCTTTGCCCTCTTCCCTGGCTCATGTTCCTGCAGAAAACTCCTCCAGACAAAGAGCTCCGACAGCCGCTGGCTTCAAAGGGAACGCGGAGCCGGCAGGGAGAGCTCGGCAGCGCTTGCTGCCTCGCTTCCAAGTGAAAGGGAATAACTAATGAGCAGAAATCCTCCCGTCTCACCTTCCCTGCAGCTCCTACCCACTGCCACTTTGCATGTGCTTTGCCAGCTCCGTGCTGCAGCCGCCCCCCGACCCACAGTGGGTGCAGAGAGGTGGCCCGAGACCCAAAGGGTCCCCAACCTGCCTCCCATGCTCTTGCTTCTGCTTCTTGATGCTGTCCCCGAGCCGATGTCCGCTCTGTCCATCTGGGTCCGTTTGCCCAGGACAGCAGCTCCTGCTGCCCTCCCATCCCTGGTGCCCCGTCCTGCACCCACTGCAGCCCAACACTGACACCTGGTGGTGCCGGGAAGGTCCCCGGCCGGCCAGGGAAACCCTCCGAGATGCCTACAAAGCCTTTGCCCTCCAAGGTGTCCTACAAGCTCATGGGGACGCATCCTGACTGGCTGCAAGGAGCCAAGTCCCTGTGAGATGGATGCCCCTTGGCATCCTCGCTTGCCCGTGGGCATCCTCCCCGCTGGGGCGATGGTGCCTCCGCGATGGGTGCGCGCTCTCCTCTCCAGTGTGCGGCTGCGACCTGGCCCAGTCGGGCTTCTTCTTCAAGAACCAGGAGTACATCTGCACCCACGACTACCAGCAGCTCTACGGCACCCGCTGTGACAGCTGTGGGGACTTCATCACCGGGGAGGTCATCTCCGCCCTGGGAAGGACCTACCACCCCAAGTGCTTCGTGTGCAGCACATGCAGGTGAGTTGAAGTGGCAGCTTTAGGGCATCCCGGCCCTCTCCGTGGAGTCGCATCAATGGGGCCAGGGAGGATGGTCCTGCCCCCTGCGACCTTTTGTGGGGTACTGGGAGAGAGGGTTGTTCCTTTGCCCTCAATTCTTCAGTCTGTTCTTCAGAAGTTGGCACCTCCGTAGACATCCTGGCTGCATTTTCATAGTGGAAATGTTTCACAGTCTCCCAGCCCTCTCTCCAATGTCTGGGGCCTGCTTTAACATCTGCATCAAGCTCTGTCTGTGTGCACCCTCATTGCCTCTCCTTTCTGAGCACAAGGAAGGTACGAGGGCTATCCCAAGCTGGCACAAGGCAGTGGGTCCTGCTGCTCCCATGATGAGAAGGGCCCCAGGGTTGGCAGCAGAGCAGCTGGGGACATGGCGGGCAGCTGGAGCACAGTGTGGAGCATCCATCTCACCTTGCCGCCTTCTCCTTGGCCGCAGGAAGCCCTTCCCCATCGGAGACAAAGTCACCTTCAGCGGGAAGGACTGTGTCTGCCAAAACTGCTCCCATTCGCTGATCAGCACCAAGCCCATCAAGATCCACGGGCCCAGCCGTAAGTTGACCGCTCTCATGTATGTCATATGTGTGTTTCCTCCAGCAAAGCCAGCCAGGGTGAGAAGCCAGACGCCCTGACTGCAATGCACAGCCTGCCTTATATTTGCTATCCCGTAAATGTGTTTTTAAGCTATTGGAAGGCTTGTCCCCTGATTTTCCGAGCAGGGAAACAGCTCAGTCTGAGCCTGAGTAGTGACCAAGCCTGGGGAGCTCTTGGGCACAGCTCTGCTTGCCAGGCCAGGCCAAACTTGGGGAAGTGCCCACATAGATATACATGCAAGACAGATGAGTGTTTGTGGAGGTTTTGGAGGAGGACTGTGGTAAACCCTCCACTCCACCCAGGATATTTTCATGCTATGCGCATTCAGCCCTGGTTTCGGAAACTCCCTTGGCCTGTTTGTGACCTGGGCGGGTGCTGCCACCAAGCCTTCTGCTGTCTGAGGCAACAACAGGAATTTTGGAGATGGGGCTTGGTTTGCAGAGAGTGGCAGGAGTGGAGGTTGCTTTCCTGGTGGGTGTTGCACATCCCAGCCGCGCTGGGATCCCAGGAGAAGGCAGGAGATCCCTTGCTGCCTACTGCAGCTGTGTGCCTTGGTAGGAACCAGGTATTGCTGTCGCATCAGAGAGCAGATTCCAGCAGCTGGGAACTGCTGGATCTCATGCTTCCAGCTGCTAGAGGCAGGCAGCCCATAGGGGGATCCCTGTGCTGGGTTCCAAGATCTCTCTGAACATGAGAAGCAGCCTGGGAACACACAGGGCTTTCCCAAGAGCTTAAGTTATTCAGTGTCTCTACAAGGAGAACGGTTTTGAAAAGCTTCTTATGCTCATTCCCTCACACTGATGATCTTGATTGCAACTTAAAATTCAGCAAGAGAAAGCTATTTTGGAGGGATATTGCCTTATTTTTTTATCCCAAGTTGTTCCTTATGATGCTTTCTCTTCATGCCATACCCATCTCACGGCCTTTGCACCGCAGTCTTTCCTTGGAGCTGGCTCTCTGCCTCGGGCCACTACTGGGTTAAGCACAGTGACCTGCAAAGCACCCCTTGGGTGTCAAGCTGTTGTTGCACAGGGAGCACTTGAGACCATGTCCAGGGTGAGGGGACTGCAGAGCCTTAACCACCTTCCTGCCCTCCAAGTCACCAGGGAAGTTGCCCAGCGCGTGGGAGATGAGGAGGACCAGGAGTCCTGCCACCAAGTGGTGACCAAAACCCTGTCAGGACCTGAGCTGCAGGGTCCTGGCCGTGGGGAGGGGACAGGCAGCCACACGCTCCATCTCTGGCCTCCTCTCCCTTCCTTGCCAGTCATCCCTTCCTCTTGCAACGTGCTCGGAGGCTCCTCCCCAGCCTGCAGAGCGAGGTTGCCTGAGGGCACCATGGTTTATTCATGGGCAGCTGCAGGCAGCAGCCAGATGTACGTGAGCCCGCTGGCACGTCCCCTCCCACCCGCTCCTGTCTGGTGGCGCTGGCAGTGCCACCTCAGAAGGGGTGACAGGGGAGGCAGGGTTGGAAGTGACCGGTGCCACAGCCCGTGTTGGTGTCCCTGAGAGGAGGCTGTCCCTGGGAGAAGGATGCTGTGCTGTTCCCTGCAGACCCCGGGCTGTGAGCAGCTCACAAACCAGGGCCAAGGCAGGATCCTTGGATCCTTGGTGCTGGAGCTGGCCAGCACCATGGGACAAAAATGCTGCCCCAGCACGCAGGGATTCAGCACCCGTTTTCTCAAGGACGAGGTGAGTTGCGAAGCATCCCTGCTCATGCGGCTTGCACGGTGCTGCTGTGCTCCGCAGACAGCGCGGGAGGAATGAGACGGTGAGGGAGTCCTGGAGAAACCTCATCCGGCCCTCAGGGCCTGAAAACCTGCAGTACCAAAGGCCAGAGAGAGAAAAGGGACAAGGAGGAGTCAAGGTCAGGGGTCTGAAGCCCATGTGCTTCCTGCTCCCAGCCTTGACAGGAGCCAGGGGAAGTGGGGAGAGGAAGGGAGGCTCGGGAATACCGCAGCAGGGCCGGATGCGGCTGCTGGAGAGCACAGCCCTTCCTTTGCTCCGCTCACCGCCGGACACTTCCCACCACTCCTGCCCCCGGAGGAGAGGCCCTGGGGACCCGTCAGGGACAGCATGGAGCAGGCGGCCCGCACTGTACCCGCACTGTGACAGGGCAGACGCGTTGGGTGCTCAATGGGGTGTCCAGTGGTACCACCCCCCAGCTAAAGGCTTCACTCCATGGCTGCTTCTGCCACATCTCCAGACAGAGGGACGTGCTGAGGTCATATCCTCCCATCTCGGAAAATTGCATAGAAAAGGAGTTATCCCAAGGGTGGTCCTTCTGGAGCAGTGTTAGAGCCAGCGTGATTCCAGCAGGATCATCCCCAAGCAAAGGAGATGCTTGGGCGTGGGGGTGCAGGATTCTGAGCAGAAGATGGGCAGTTGCTTGGCGGTGAGCACAGGAGACCCTGCGCATGGATGTGT